GCATTCACCATTTAGTTTCTTGATGGGGAGATCCAGGAGGATCCTAGTGGAGGGGCCAGGGGGGCTGGGGGGGCCCTCAGGCCCTACTCTTTACCAACTGGTATGAAGGTGTTTATTTCGATCCGGGGGGGGGGGGGGGGGGGGGAGGGGTGGGGGGGCAGATCCGGGGGTGTTCTTTGTAGTCCTGGTGACGATGATGATGATGATGATGATGATGATAGGCATCCACTCCGTGACTGGTGCCCTGCTGAATGCTTTCCATACGTTCTCTCTAAATCTACCACCTAATCCTGCAAGGCAGATGTTTCACACTTGAGGGAATCAGGGTGCAGAGAGGTTGACGGATTTGTCCAAGGCCACGCTACCACTTAGTAGCAGAGCCAGGATCTGAACTCAGATCTTCTTGTCTCTAAGATTATGACCGTTCCACTCCCATGCCATCTCCCACCACTTCAAAATGGGAAGGAAATCTCAGGTAAATGAAGAAAAGCTCCTGCTAAGTCAGTGGTTCTCAAACTTTAGCGTGCATCAAAATCACTGGAGAGCTTATTAGAGTACAGACAGCTAGGTCATGCCCCCAGCGTTCCTGATTCAGAAGTTCCTGATTGTAACAAACCCAGCTGAGGCTGTGCTGCTGGTCCTGGCGCCTCTCTCAGCACCGCTGTTCTCAGGGACAGCAGCAAGCTGACTCTGCTGGCTCCCCGCTGCTCTTCCAGGTCAGTTGGCACCTCCAAAATCTATCCACTTCACCTGCCTGAAGAAGAGGTCCAGGGCATGTGCGGCCTCCATTCTTCCGCTCTGTTTTCATGGGAGTCTGTGGTAGAGACTGCAGCCTCCCCGTGACGGAGCGCAGAGGATTCCTGGCTGAGCCGTTTGCTGCCGGCTGTGCACAGACTCACCTGCCCGCCCTCTGAGCCCCGGGTCAATGCCAGGCCTCCCTGGGCTTTCCCTCACTCGCTGCTTCTCTGTGAACTGAGCCAGCTTTCCTTACTTTGTCAAGTGTGGTTTGCCAACCCTCATCACCGACAACACCCTCTCCTGATCTGCGGGACTTCGGACGGGGAGTAAGAAACCTGTTCCAGGGTGACCTGGGACACAGCATTGTCTCCATCGCCTGAGATCCTTGTTCCTCTGGGAAGATAAACTTTCTAGCAGCTTGGTCACCTTCCCAAGTTATTGTTTAACATGGGAACATGTGTTTCAAAGGCTCATGGACTTTTAGACTTGGAAGAGTTCTTAGTGGAAAAGAGGAAAGGAAGGAAACTCTTACTTACTGAAAATCTGCCATGTGTCAGGCGGGAGGCCAGAGGCTTCATATGTGTCATGGCGTTTACTCTTCACAGTGACCCTGTGAGTTAGCAGGGGTGTGTACGTGTGTTTTAATCCCCATGTACAGATGAGAAAAGTGTGATTCTGAGAAGTTCAGCAACTGGTCATGGTCACCCAGCTAGCAAGCGTAGCTGAGCCAAGATCTGACCCCAGGTCAGCTCATGCTCTTTCCACTGCCACTGGCCCATCAGTTCACAACATTGATGTTCTCTCTAACTCTGATCTAAATTTATTGAGCTTTGGGCCACACGTGAAGCCCAAAGCCTGGCTTAATAAGACAAAACCTGAGTCACTCCTGCGGTGGTCAGTGCTGGGGAAGCGATGACAGGTCCAGTTTGAGAAGCTGCCAGGGAAGTCTTAGGAGGGGCTGAGGAAAGAGGCCAGGGTCAAGCGCTGGGTGAGCAGGCGGGAGGTGCCAGGTGTCTGGAAGAATGGGTAGCAAGAGCTACTGGGAGCAAACAAAGGCAAACAGCATCGCAGGCCTCTGGGAGGAAGATGTAGCAGCCAGCCCGAGGCCTCAGCTCGGGAAAGCTGACCACTGCACTGCTCTGCAGAGCCAGGTGCCACCTTCCTGGCCAGGCTGCGGGCCTGTGTAAAGGCGGTTCCCCAGCCCAGCATGACTGGCAGTGCCTACTTTTGTACCCAGCATTGTGCCAGGGATGGAGGCTGCAGTTTTTTTTTAAATAAAGCATCCTTGTCATCAAAGAGTTCACAGTTCAGGAGTAGGTACAGGCAACTAACTAAACCCAGCCAGATAAATAGTATTTTTAATATGGTGCTTTGTAGCGTAAAGTACCTGTTCACATACACACATGATGTCCAGGGTCCCTCACAGGGACATTGCCGCAGGGGAGGGAGGAAGGGCGCCGTGCTAAGCATTCTGTCCTTCCACACCTGACGTCTCGTGGATCCTTGGCACACCCTGTGGAGTGCACAGAGGGAGTCCCAACTGCTCCTCAGGGGGTGGGTGAGTATAGCATCGAGTTGGGCTTGGAAGGATAGCTAGGAGTTCTTCATGCAGAAAAGAGGAAGAGGAGGCTACAGAGGGAACATGGCCGTTTCTTCTACTGTGGGTTTTGGTGTCGTAGGCACTTTTAGCCTCAGCTCGGGGGAAGGAGGCTTGAGACAGACTCCTAGCCCCTTCCGCTCCACTCTGAAAAGCCCTAACTTTGTTACCTCTGTCTTCCTGTGACAGCACCCTCCAGAAAAGCCAGATTATCTAAAGCGCTGGCCGGCCAGCCTCTCAGGGGCTGGTGGGTGTGCTTTCAGCTGACAACGGCTGGCTTAAGAAGATCTATTTTTTTCTCTCTGCCATCCATTTTTCCTCAATGACTATTTTCCTAGAGTCCATCATGTAATGATCCTCACAGCCCAGGGACAAATGAGGGAGGAGCCATAAACCATCAGCGTCATCTGTCCTCGTTTGAGTCAGTGAAAGAAAATGTTAGCCTGGAAACAATGAAAAATTGAGCATGAAGTCAGAGGGGGAGGAGATTTAAATGTGTCTCAACTAATGGCAAGGGAGAAAGCAAGTGAGGGATTGGAATTCAGCAGAATGGCTTCACCCTGTGCAGCTAGGGGACCAAGAGCTGGGAGGACAGGGGAAAGGACTCTCAGGAGGAAGCACAGACATTAGTGGGGTAGTGGCGGGAGAGGGAGGGGAGAGCCCTCAGGCTGCCTGAGTGGTCAGTGCCGAGCTAGCACTGAGAGGAGCTTTGAAATAGGAGAACAACCAGTCATCCACCCCAAACAGACACCACTGCCCCACTGGGGTCCTCTACGGTGGGGCTGGGCTGAATCTGCCCAAGAAAACCTTATGCAGCATCCCATTGAGACCACCTCTTCAGTGGACCCCTGACTGAAGCAGGTGGAGAACCTGGCCCTCCCGCCCCCCAGCAGCACCACAGGCCAGGAGGCAGATGGTGACTCAGGCAAGGGAAGCCCCAGGAAAGTTACTGCGAATTAGTTATGCAACCTCCTACTGTCATCAATAGGCCATGATCAGTCTCCTCTCAATCCCACTCCTTCCTTACCTGGACCCTGTGCAGCCAGGAACAGGCCCACTCTGTGCAGAAACAGCAGGACTAGGAGAAAGAAGGAGATTGAAATTATAAGCTGCACAGTGACTGGGATTTTAATAAACAGATGGAACTATAAGCCTGGAAAACCTTAAAGGACCCAAATAAGTTGCTTTCTCTAAGCCTATGGAGGGATCCAGCCAAGAAGGATTAATGCAATTATGGGAATAAAGCTAGTTTCATGCTTGCCCATCTAACGGTCACTATAAAAACAAAAACCACAAGACTCACTTAATCCTCATAACAACCCTTGGAGTTATTTTAGTTTTTTCCTGCTTTTTTCTCCCCAACTCCCCCCAGTACATAGTTGTAAATTTTAGTTGTGGGTCCATCTAGATGTGGCATGTGGGACGCCACCTCAACATGGCCTAACAAGTGGTGCCATGTCTGCACCCAGGATCCAAACCCCGGGCCGCCAAAGCGGAGCGTGCAGACTTAACCACTCGGCCACGGGGCCAGCCCCTGGTTTTGTTTTTAATTGAGATGAAATTCACAAAATATAGAATTAGCAATTATAATGCATATAATTCGGTGGCATTTAGTACATTCAGAATGGTGTGCAACCACCACCTTTTAGCAAGTTCCAAAGCATTTTCATCACCCCTTGGGGTTGTTTTCATGCCCTTGTTACGGATTGATATTGCAACTCAGGAAAGTGGAGTGACTGATTTAAGTTCATTGATGGTAGAGGTCACACTTGAACCCAGATCCTCTAACTCCCCTGGAAGGATGGAACATTTGCCTTCAGACTTTGATAACAGCCTGTGAAATGACTTCCTGTCCTGTTATCTCCCATCCCTCCAGTTGTCTTACACGCAATTAGCAGATTCATCTCCTACAGCAAGGCTCCCTCCTCAGCCTCCCAATGGGTCCTCATTAGCATCAAAGTTGGAGCTCCTTTATTGCTGTGACCTTTATGTTGATGTAATCACCAATCGACTTGTTTCTCTCCAGGGTGTGTTCCACAGGAAATGCTCGTGCATCCTCAGCTGGCCATCCTGGGCCTGGAGGCCGATCCCAGCACAGCCTGTCTCCTCTCTCTCATCCATCAGCTGCCAGCCAGCCAGCCTGCATTGGCCCTTTAGATTTCTTAGGCAGGATTTGACACCAACGCTGGTGCCTAAAACTGTAAGAAACACGTATCAAGTTCTTTGAGTGTTTCCATTGGAGCCTCTCTCAACTGACTTGAGGGGAAGGACAGGAACCCCCATCTCTCCACCTTGTTTGGCTAAATTATTTTAAGGTCAAGTAATAGATGCAATGCAGATGTTAAATACAATGATGCCAATATATATGTGTTAGTTGAAAAGATGTTCATGGTGTATTGTGAGATGCCAAAAGGTAAAATCCTATATGTACTGTCACGTGCTGCTCAACGACACAAATACATTATGAGAAATGCATCGTTAGGCGATTTTGTCGTTGTGTGAACATCACAGAGTGTACTTACACAAACCTAGATGGTATAGCCTCCTACACACCTAGGATAAAAGGTACTAATCTGATGGGACCACTGTCATACATGTAGTCCATCATTGACTGAAACATCATTATGTAGCACATGCCTGTAGTATAAATCTGTTTCAGAAAAATATATATCTACAGAGAGAGAACACATAAACGTCTTGAACTCATGCATATATTTGCATAAGAAAAAAGTTTAAAAAGATACATTCTAAAATGTTAATGATAGTTCTCTCTGGGTGGTGTAATATGGAGTGATTTTAATTTTTTCCTTCTGCTTATTTTCATATTTGCTAAGGTTTTTTTTCTATAAAAACACAGCCTGAATAAGGAAAAGAATATGGAAGAGTAAAAGAATTCCTGTAGAGCTTTGTTTATCTCCCTCAACAGGGCTTATATCACAACTAATTGTGTATATGCATCTGCTCTCCCCTCACCTTGGAGACAAGATCTCATGTCACTCACCTTGTCTTCTCCGTGACATCGCCATGACATGCTCAAGAATTAATTAGCTAGCTAACGAGTAGACTCAGGCTCTCCTCTCTCTAACCCCTCCTGAGTGATAGGCTGGTGTAAGTCTCTGACCCCAGCCCCTCAGGCGGCCTCCAGGAGGTTAAGCTTCTGACACTTCCCTGTCCTGGGTTCCTGAAGTTTCCTACCAGGCAGTGGCACCAATGAGTAAAAGGGGCAGCCAGAGGCATACCCAACTACCTCATCTGTTTCCTACACACTCCCCAAAGTCGGAGGGAGAAACAGCAAGTCTATAAACCCAGAAACTCTCTTGCGCTTGTGGGTTTCTTCTCAATGTGATTTCATTTCTATAAGGCAGATGTCTTTCATCGCCAGGGCAACCAGGAGGGAACACGGAGCAGCCTCCGCCTCAGCCTCAACTCTTATTTCGCTAAACTCCCACTGAGTTCTGAGCTCACTTCACTTCATGTTTGTGGTTGTGAGAATGTAAACATTCTTCAATTCTGCTTTTTCGGGTTTTTGTTTTGTTTTGTTTTTTTAATCTTGTTTTGCCTCTCTTTATAAGTTCTGGCTAATATGTATAGTTTCTCTGGCAATTTACTAGCTTAACTCATTTTATTTTATTTTTACCAGCTAACCTTGATCTCCTTCACTTCTCTTGTACTGTCTTGTGATCAGTATTGCTCACTCAAAATAGATGAACATGTATTTTCAATGTACTAAAAACTAACCAGAAGGTCAGAACTGGAAATTTCCAGTTGAGAGAATGCTGGAGGGAACAGCTTTAACTATGTTTGTTTTTCCCCCTTGATTCGCATTTTTCCCCTTGGTTTTCCTTTCCAGCTCCACGGCGGTACACACACATTTCTAGACTACACTGGAGGAGCAGCTCTCTGTGGCATGGCCTGTTTGGGTGAGACATGAGTTAATTCTCTCTTTTCCTGGTGAAGCTCAGAGGTCTGAGCCTGACGGGCAGAGAACTAGACTCCTCAGTCATAATGAAACTCACATAGCCTCCCATTTCCTCTCATCCTCTCTTGTCCCAGTTAAAATATCTGTGAATTAGACCCCATTTCTAGAATTCTGTCCCTAACAACGTTGTTCTCACAGGAGCTGAGCTTCAGCAGTCTAAACACACTAGCCTTGCCCAGCACATGGCCCTTAACTGTTAAAGGAATTAAGTCTAGTGAAATAGAATCAAACCGAATTGAACTGCTAGGCTATAAACTAGCCTTGCGAATAAGGGCCACTGGCCCGTTATATGTAGCCCAGCCGAAGCCACAGCACCTGAGAAGACGTGGGCACAGCATTAGGACCCATTCTGGGGGTTTGGAGGGTTTCTCTTCTTGGCTCATTGCTCTGTGGGTCGGGTCTGGTTTCTCACAGTCACTACCTGTGGTAAACGACTGGCTTTGAATCAAGTCAAGAGTGCGAGCTCAGCTTGGGTGTGAATGAGCGTAAATAGGAGAGGGAGCCCCGGGAGGGAGAAAGAGGAGGAGGTGGCCTCCTCCCACCGTCAGTGAAGAAAAAAATGCAACTATCAGAAACGTGAGAGAATTAATGATGTGAAACGAGCTGTGTAACTCATGGTCCTGCCCTCTCTGGATAGGTCCTTGCCCTGAAAGTAGGTGAAAACAGCCAAACCCAGAGAGGTGCACATGGGCCACCTCAGCGTGCAGCCTGACCCTGGGACCTGGAGGGAAGGGAAGGAGGAAAGTCAACCACTGTGCTAGGTTTTGCAAGTTGTTTTCATGACAAATCTGGGACATAGATGTTATTCCCATTTTACAGAAGGGAAACTGAGTCCCAGAAGGGTTAAATAGTATAACGGAAAGGACATCACCTTTAGAGGCAGGTAGAACTGGGTTCTAACATCACAGGAGCCGTCCTCTACCCTCCCTGACCCTCAGACTCCTCATCTGTGAATGGGAGATATTACTGCCTACCTCAGAGAGTTGTCACAAGGATGAAATATAATTAAAGGACATGATACATAGAAAGCAACACCCTGCCCCATAGGAGGTAGGTTTTCATTGAATGTGACTGCTCTTGCTCCCTGCCCAAAGTCAAGCACCTGGCAGGCCACAGGTCACAAGCCCAGGTCACCTGCCCCCTGGAGGGTGAGGGAGGGACCCTGCTTTAGGGCAGAATCCCCATGCCCCTTGGGTCTCCCTGTGCCTGCCCAGGAATCAGCAGCTGGAAGGAGTCTCCCACAGCTGGGGAGGAGACGGAGAGGGGGCTTTCCAGGCTCCTAGACAGCTCCACTCCCTCACACACGCCCCTCCCCTGAGCCTGCCTCACTCGCCCAGCCTGGTGACCCCTCTTTTGTGCTTGCTTTCAGGTGACACACCCTGCACTCAAAGAAGGGCCAGTTCTGTCCTATGGGGCTCAGAGAAGCCCCAACTCAGACCTCAGCCCCCTGACGGGTCTCACCACTTCAGCCTCTGTGTTAAAACTCACTATGTCCCCCCGACTGGCCTAGATCCCACCACCTTTCACAGAGAGGCAAAATGTTTGTGGCCTACACCAGGAAGCCTTCCATCACACTGTTAGCTGCAAATAACTCTGCCTGGCACGGCTCACTTGCTGCTGTCACCTCCTGCTCTGCATCCCTGTAGTTGGGTGTGCCTCCTCCAGAGGACTTCCACTCCACTCCCCAGGAAGGACAGCCCCCTCCTTTTCCTTCAGGGGTTTCTCTCCTGCCTCCTCCTCCACCAGGTAGGCCCTGCCTCTTGGGGAGAGGTCAGCAGGGGACCTCCAGTTTGCACATGACCCCCTGGATCAGGTGAGGAAGGAGGAGAAAATCATTTGGCCTCCACTTTCTCAAATCCAGCTTTGCCAACAATAAAGCCAATACTTTTAGCCCTGAGCCAATTTCTCAATTGGTTGAAACCCAGAGGGAAGAAGAATGTGATTTCCATTCAGACCTCAGCAGCAGACTGGGAGCTCCTGGAGGGAAGAAACTATTTCTTTCTTATTCTTAGTAGATAAAAAATTTACGTAATACTTAGTACATATAAAAATAAAAAAAAACATGCAGGGGCCAGCCCGCTGGTGCAGCGGTTAAGTTGGCACGTTCTGTTTCGGCAGCCCGGGGTTCACTGGTTCGGATCCCAGGTGCGGACATGGCACCACTTGGCAAGCCATGCTGTGGCAGGCATCCCACGTATAAAGTAGAGGAAGATGGGCGTGGATGTTAGCTCAGGGCTAATCTTCCTAAAAAAAAGGAAAAAAAAAAAAGAAACATGCAACATATCCGTAAGTTATAAAGCACAATTATAAACACTCTACCTAGGAACGCATCCGTTCCATCGCCTCCCATCTATGCCCCTGCCTCCTCACAAAAAGTCACCACTATCCTATATTCTGAGCTTAACGATGCCTTCAATATTTTGTTTTCAGTTTTAGCAAATATGTATGCATTTCTGAGCTATATATACTTTGATTGTTCTGGGTTTTTTGGGGTGGGGTTCTTTGTAAATAATATCAAGCTGAATTTAATCGTCAGTGGTCATGAGATTTACCATTTAAAGATGGATGTGCGCCTCTCCCCGACAACTCAGCAGTCCCCCCCTAGGTATGGTATGTACCCTAGTGCAGTGGTTTGCAAACTTTTCGATCTCAGGACTCTTTTATGCTCTTAAAAATTAAAGATCCCATCCCAAAGAGCTCTATTTTTATGTGGGTTATATTTATTGATATTTACTATAATAGAAATGAAAACTGAAACATTTAAAAATATTTATTAATTTTAAAATAAACTCATTACATGTTATGTTCACACAATATATTTTATGAAAAAGAATTATATATACTTTAAAAGTTAGAGAGACGAGTGGCATTGTCTTACATTTTGCAAATCTCTTTTTTATCTGACCTAATAGAAGACAGCCTCACAGAGACAGATAATTGGAAAAGGTAGGAGTATTGTAATAGCCTTTTCTGATAATTGTGGATAAATTATGCAGCCTCTGGAAAACTCCGCTGAATTTGCCTAACAGAATGAGAATGAAAATTATTATAAAAATAGTTTTGATCTCATGGACCCCTAAAAGGGCCTCAAGGACCCCTGTGGGTCCCTGGATGACACTTTGAGAACCATTGCCTTAGCGACACTTGCACACGTGCACCAGCAGGGATGTGCTAGATTGTTCACTGCAGTATTGTTTGTAATAGAAAAAGCTGGAGAGAACCCAAACATCGTCCATCAGTGGAAGAATGATAAATTAATTGTGGCTCATTCACACAATGGAATATTTTACAGCAGTGAAAATAAAGCCTCTTTTCCCCATTTTTGTATATGAGAAGTCTATGTATTAGGAGAGTTGTTGCATTTTGACTGAGTAGCTCATTGGATGGCTATGGTCTAGTCTTAAATGAGGCCATGCACAAAGTAGTTCTTTAAGAAATGGGCAGGCCCAACCCTGGTGACATAGTGTTTAAGTTTGGCGTGCTCCAGTTTGGCGGCCTGGGTTGAGTTCTTGGGTGCAGACCTACACCACTCATCTGTAATGGCCATGCTGTGCCAGCGACCCACATACAGAAAGAGGAAGATTGGCAGCGGATGTTACCTCAGGGCAAATCTTCCTCAGCAAAAAAAAAAAAAAAAGAAAGAAAGAAAGAAGAAGAAAGAAATGGAAAAATGAACAAACATACCCAAAGGCTATGAATGGAGAGGCAAGGCCAGAGTCACTTGACTTCCTGCTGTGACTTTTGTCATGTTAAATTTTCAGGCTGAAGCCTTTTTATTTTCTGAAGTACTTGATTGCAGACTAATGATTAAAAGCTAACTTCCTGTTTTAAAGTGATGTTTACGTCAGCCCAAAATACTTTCCAAACAGTGGGACTTCATAAACACTAGCTCACAGAGAATTCAGCAAATTTATGAAAAGATCTTCCCTTTGGAAGTTTGACAGCACAGAGCTAAAACAAGCACATTTTGTGTTTAAAACCGAGCCTTCTTGCTGGAATAAAAACATTTGAAAGCAAAATCTTCCTACACATCTGATCCCCAGTTAAAAGGGAAAAAGGAACAATTGAGAGCTTTATAGAGGCCAAACAGGCCATGGAAATGACCCTCATCAGCACAAAATCCTAAAGGTTGTAGGGAAGTAGACCCAGGATTCCTATGAATGCAATTATTTCCCAAAGGGCCAACACACACAGATTCTGTATAGTGTACTCTTTTTAAGTATAGGTGCGATTTGTAGCTTTACAGCGGCCTGAGATGGCTGAACTGAGAAGGGTGTAGCAAAGGATTCACGTTGTATCTGTACTTCAAACACACACCTACCTTAGTAGTTATTAATATAGTGATATCCTGTGTATCCAGAGGCCCTTACCCAGCAAACTGACTGACTGGTCTTGAACACAGATTTTCCACATAGAAGAACTTTAATGTTTTTTTGAGACATCAAATACCAAATTATTTCCCAAAAGGTTTTCCCACTTTATAGTGTCCCTGTGTTGTGAGGGCCACCTAGTTTCTTCCCTAGCTTAACTCCCTAGAAGCAGGCAGCTAGATATGTACCCACTAGGCAGGAGACTAGAGGTGTCTTATCAGGAGAAACGTGCCCAGGGGAAAAGGCTTAACAGATTGACAGTTGAGGGGGCTGGCCCCATGGCCGAGTGGTTAAGTTCGCGTGTTCTGCTGTGGTGGCTCAGGATTTTGCTGGTTCGGATCCTGGGCGTGGACATGGCACCACTCATCAGGGCATGCTGAGGCGGCGACCCACATGCCACAACTAGAAGGACCTGCAACTAAGATATACAACTATGTACCGGGGGGATTTGGGGAGATAAAGCAGAAAAAAAAAAAAAGATTGGCAACAGTTGTTAGCTCAGGTGCCAATCTTTAAAACAAACAAAAAAAAAGAGATTGACAGTTGAAGCTCACCTAAATAAACAGTGGGCTCTCTGCCTAGTTATCCTGCCTGAAGCCTTTTAATCAATAACCCTATTCTCTCTCTCTTTCTCACTTTCACACTCACACACAGATTTTCCCAATCATCTTTGTGATGCTTCACTCTTACATAAGGACAAATAACCAAAAATCATATAATTAAGGAAAATTCTCTAATTTAGAAGATAGCAGCTAAAATAAACAAAACAATGAACTCAGAGAAAACAGAGACATCCAGAGAGGGGAGGAAAAACAAGAAACATTCTATAGTTAATCCTCAGGAAAAGAAGAGAAAATAATATATCCATGAAACAAGAACAGGGTGCTATATACATAAAAAAAGAAGTGTTTGGAAAACAATAAAGAGCTCTTGGAATTAAAAATATGATAGTAGAGGGGCCAGCCTGGTGGTGCAACGGTTAAGTGTGCACATTCCAATTCAGCAGCCCGGAGTTTGCCGGTTCATATCCTGGGTGTGGACATGGCACCGATTGACAGGCCATGCTGTGGTAGGCGTCCCACATATAAAGTAGAGGAAGATGGGCATGGATGTTAGCTCAGGGCCAGTCTTCCTCAGGGAAAAGTGGAGGATTGGCGGCAGTTAGCTCAGGACTAATCTTCCTCAAAAAAAAAAAAAATATGATAGTAGAAATGACAGCTCAGTAAAAAAGTTGGAAGACAAAATTTGGGAAATCTCCCAGAAAGTAAACAAAAAAAACCCCATAACTTTTGGTTGAAATCAGACATTTAAGATGCATTTGCTTTATCAGCCAAAAATTACTCAGGAAGTCTTGGTTTAGGAAATCAATTTTTCGATATTTCCTCCTGAATCAACATCTGGCTTCTCTGACATAAAAGCACTCCCCTCTCCCTTTCTTGTGTTTTGACTTCCAAGAATTCCTTCAAATGTAGAGGTGTTTATATGGATAAGTCCATAAAATCAAATGCTTGTTTCTGGTTAACAGTAAAGTATTACTGACTGAGAAATAAACAGATAAACCAATAGAAAAAAACTCCAGAAATAGACCCAAGTATATATGTGAATGTAATACTTAATAAAATGGGCATTTCAAATCAAAGGAGAAAGGAAAGGTTATTCAATAAATAGTATTGAGACAATAGACGAACACCATTTTCCATTTGGGGAAACCATTTAAATTATATTGCTACCTCACTCCTTACTCCAAAATAAATTCCAGATGCATAAAAAATTCAATGTAAAACATGAAACCATAAAAAGTATAGGAAGAAAATATAGGTGAATTTGTTTATTAGCTTGGAATGAAGAAGGCCTGTGTAAACAGGCTGTGAAATACAGAAACTGTAAAGGCAAACATCAAGAAATTTGAGTGTAGAAAACTGTTAAACTTCTGAACAAGAATAAACATATCAACAAAGGCAAAAACGAACTAATACAAATAATTGCAATATATGATAGATAACTGGCTAATTTCCTTAATATACAAAGAGTTCTCACAAATGAATAAGGAAAAAACCTGCCCAAATGTATCAGTCAAGATCCAGTCAGGAAAACAGAAATCATGCTAGGTAATTCAAACAGGGAAAATTAATGTACCTGGTTACACAGATGCTGGAGGGTCAAAAGATAATTGGGTAATATATTCAGAATTCATATCATAGACAAGGAGCTAATAATGTGAATTTATATGGAGCACCTAAAAACCAAAAAGAAAAAGACCAACAACTCCACACAAAAATGGGGCAAGTACATGAAAAGAAAATTCACAGATAAGAAAATACAAACGGCTCTCAAATACATGAAAAGATGCTCAATCTCATTCATAAGAAAATAAGTAAAAACTAACACTACAATGAGATAGTTTTCACTTATCATTTTGGAGAGACCAAAAGCCATTAAAAAGAACAAATATAGGGGCCAGCCCCGGGGCCGAGTGATTAAGTTCACGCACTCTGCTTCGGTGGCCCGGGGTTCACTGGTTGCGGATCCCGGGTGCGCACATGGCACCGCTTGGCAAGCCATGCTGTGGCAGGCATCCCACATATAAAGTAGAGGCAGATGGGCACAGATGTTAGCTCAGGGCCAGTCTTCCTCAGCAAAAAGAGGAGGATTGGCGGCAGATGTGAGCTCAGGGCTAATCTTCCTCAAAAAATAAAAATAAAAATAAAAATAAAAACACAAAGCGATAATTAAAGGTGGCTTCACCGTGT